ACATTGCATACAAGATTTGTTTTCTTTTTTTTTTAAAGAGAGAGAGAGAGAACTTTTTAATATTTATTTTTTAGTTTTCAGCAGACACAACATCTTTGTCTGTATGTGGTGCTGAGGATCGAACCCGGGCTGCCCGCATGCCAGGCGAGCGCGCTACCGCTTGAGCCACATCCCCAGCCCACAAGATTTGTTTTCTACTTGCCTCTGTTCACCCCTAATTCCAATCAGCCATGGGAAACAGGAATAACACTTTATATTTTATAAGTGTTATTGTATAAACAGGTATAAATTCAGAATCAGTCTTCCTTTCATACATACTGCTTAGTCCTGTGTCTGGCATTTAATGTAGTAGTCAAACAATGAATTAATAAATAAATGTTCAGTTGGAACCAAAATATGTCAAACTTTTAGAAATGTTAGAAACCATTTAGCTCTCTTTCCCCCTTTTTAAATAAGAAAATGAAGATGTTAAAATGTATATTGAAAAACATCTTAATTAGGGAGGGATTCAAAGTGTTGGAATAGAATTCTTTGCAGTACTTCTTTAATAGTCCCTTATCATATGGCATGAAGTATTTTCCTATGGAACAAGAGCCTTGGAAAGGACTTACAGTGTTTACAAAAGTACAAAGCTAAAAAATTAGGATAATTATATAAAGCAATTATAGTAACTGTTATGGATATTTGCTTTGAAATTTTAAATTCATGGGTTATTGAGCAAACCTTGATTTTACACTGTGTATTTTTTTCTTTTTTTTTTTAATATTTATTTATTTTTTCTTAGTTCTTGGTGGACACAACATCTTTGTTTGTATGTAGTGCTGAGGATCGAACCCGGGCCGCATGCACGAGCGCGCTACCGCTTGAGCCACATCCCCAGCCCATTTTTTTCTTATAATATAAATTAACTTCTAACTTTATATAGTATACAAATGCTTTCTTGTATAGTTTAAATAATAATATTTGGAGGTTAATAGTTACCATAGAAGTAAACCTTATGCCTGCAGATTAACACTTGTAAAATGTAAAGTGTGAATATGCTTATTTTTATTTCCATGGCTGATTGGAATTAGGGATGTATAGAGGCAAGTGGAAAATAAATCTGTGTGCATTGTGTGTGTGTGCGCGTGCGTGCGTGCGTGCATGCGTGCGTGTAATGTTGAGGATTAAACCTAAAGTATTGCACGTTGTAGGCAAGTATTCTATCACTGACCTACATTTCAGGTCCCCTTGTGTGCATTTTAAAAATTGGGATGAGAGGAATTTATTCCAGAATTCCCTGCTCTGTAAGAGACCCACTGTATAAGTACATGAAATGAGAGGTGGTGATGGGCTGATAGACAAATAATTGGCAGAAATAGATCAATAATTGGTTTAAATAATTTTGGTTTAAATAATTTGCTGTATGTTTCCTTCCAGTTTAATCCACTTCCTTGGTGAAAAGTTTCTTTTCATTGAGTGCTGTTCCCCTTTCAGGTTAGCAAACAGTGCAGCTACACAGGAGCTTATGTATCCAGTAGCCCTGCCTCACTGAGTTAGATGCAGTGCATATATCTCTATTTGCTTTGTAAATGAAGTTTTCAATAGTGGCTTTAGTTGTCTGGAAATAACTATGAGTCACTGTTTATTCAAGAAATCAATTGCTTAAGAGAATTTTTAAGTTTATTGATATAATTTCATGTGTATCTAGAATACAGTTTCCCAGTTGGATACAGATTTTTAAAAATACTCCAAAGCATGCTATATCATTAATTGGATAGGGCAAACAGAGCAATACCTTCAAATATTCTTTATTGTCTAACTCTTGTGTTGGCTGTTCGTTTCATCTCAACCTTGATTTTATATTAGTGCATTGTATACACTTCTTTCATAATTTTCTTCTAACTTGGGCCAGAAATGTTGGGACAATGGTATGACATATCAGAATCACCTGTGAATTTTTTTAAAAATGATATACTCTTACCTTTCTCTCTGATTTCGATAGACTCTTCTCCCAGTTGCTGTACTAGCCCAGGGCCATTGATAAATGATTTAAATCACTCATTTTCAGACTTTTTAAAAGCCTAGAATCTCTTACTTCAAATAAAACATAGTATGCAAAATGGATAGATATGAGTAGTTTTTTTTTCTGATTTAAAGTTAGAGTGGGAGCCCAATGACTTGCCTGCTCTAATCCAAGTCCATAAAACACACACAAAAAAATGCTGCATTCATGAATGAAAATTGAAAAAACACTGTGTTAAAATGAAATAATGGTGTAGACAAAACAGAATGAGAGACAAAATACCTTACTTAAGTCTTTTGTCTTGTGAATCCTAGAGAAATTTTATTTATTCTCAAATTAGTTGAGGATGGATAAAAATAAATAATACAACTATAAAATATCTTAGGGCCAAGTCCTATATGATTACCTCTGGGTCATATATGTATGATGGTATTTCTATCCCAGTTTGGTTAAGTGGTAAATAGGAAGGAGATAATGTATATACTTCATCTCCAGTTGGAAAATAGCTTGTCAAACTATGGGTGGTTGATTTTCTAAAATTAAAGATTCCTTTTGGGTTAATACCTTACAGACAATGTAAGCAAAATTGTAAATATGGCCTTTGACAATGGAAAATCTCCAAAGGAGCATTTAATTAAATTTCTTCCTCTAATGTTGTCTTTTTTTTTTTTTTTCTGTTGTTGGGCAGGTGGTAGAGAAAACAAACCCTACAGAACCAGTTGGAGTGGTTTGCCGAGTGGATGGAGTATACCAGGTGGTAGAATATAGTGAGATTTCCCTGGCAACAGCTCAAAAGCGAAGTTCAGATGGACGACTGCTGTTCAATGCAGGGAACATTGCCAATCATTTCTTCACTGTACCATTTCTGAGAGACGTTGTCAAGTATGGGCAAAATTAGGGCCTTTTTTTTTTTTAATTGATACATTATAATTGTGACAAAGTAGTGGAATTCATTGTGATAGATTGGCTTATGCACAGAACATAAGTTGGTCGATTTCATTGCTCATTTCCTCCCGTTTCCCTTCTCTCTCCCTCTCTATGCTATTATCCCTTCCTTTTTTAAAAAATAAAAATCCCTTTTTTCTTCTTTATTATGTCTTCCAAATATGAGAGAAAACATATGACCCTTGACTTTGACTTCTTTCGCTTAACATGTTTTTCTTGAGTTTCATTGATTTTCCTACAAATGACATAATTTCATTCTTCTTTATGAGTGAGTAAAACTCCATGTTTATGTATACCATATTTTCTTTTTTCATTCATGCATGGAAGGTACTTGGACTGGTTCCATAACTTAACGATGTATAAATGTTACCTTTCCCCACATCTTTGCCAGTATTTATTATTATTTGTATTCTTGATGATTGCTGTTCCAATTCATGTGAGATAAAATCTCAGTGTAGTTTTGATTTTCATTTTCATAATTGCTAAAAATGTTAAACATTTTTTCATGTATTCGTTGACCATTTGTATTTCTTCTATTTAGAAATATCTGTTTAGTTTGCCCATTTTAATTGAGTTGTTATTAATTCTTGCTGTTATTTCCTGAGCTTTAGAAGTCAGTGATGCCTGAGGAAGTCTATATTGGCACTTTTTTGCTAGAGTATTGACCCTATGTTTTCTTCTACCAGTTGCAGAATTTCTGGTCTAATTTCTAGGTCTGATCCACTTTGCATAGACTTTTGTGCTGGGTGAAAAATGAGGATCCAGTTTCCTTCTGTGTATGGGATATACAGTTTTCCCAGCACTGTTTCTTTTTTTTTTTTTTTTTTAAGTTGTCTTTTTTCCATTGTACATTTCTGGTGCCTTTGTTAAGGAACAGAGACTGTATCAATGTGGGTTTGTCTCTGTCCTCTCTTTTATTGTTCCACGTGTCTATTTTTATGTTTTACCATGTTGTTTTTGTTATTATAGCTCCATAGTATAATTTGAAATCAGGTATTGTGATGTCTCTTTTTGCTCTTTATAGTTTTGGCTTCTCTGGGCCTTTTGCCCTTCCATGTAAAATTTAGGACAATTTTTCTAGTTCTGTAAAGATGTCTTTGATATTTTGGATCTTCTAAATATAGGACCATATCATCTGCAAATAGTAATAATTTGATTTCTTCCTTTCCTATTATATTCCTTAAGATAGAGCCTCTTATTATTATTTTTTCTTTTTTTCATTTTTTGCTATTCATTCAAACCAAATGATTTTCCTAAAGTTATGAAATACAGAGGAGACCTCTTATTATTTTTGTTATTAATTAGAAACTAAACCACCTGGGAAGTGGATAGATCCTCCTATGCTATAGGCCCTTCTCTAACCAGGATAGGATTGTATGGTATATAAAATTTTATTTTCATTTAGTTCCCTAAGCCCATGTCCCATAGAATTCATCTTTCCTGAGGATTACTTTTATCAAATGGAAATTTATCTCAACTGTGATTGTTTGTAGTGACATTATTATAAGGTAGAAATTAATAGGAGCTTTTCTCCAACGCATTAGGTGAAGTCCAAAGCATTTCTTCATTTTCTTCTCACCCTCTCAATCCCCTGTGTCCTAGATTCTGCTGAAGCAAAGAATTAAGAAATGAACCTCCTCTTTACCACAACTGAGAGCTTTTTAAAAATAGATGTCTTGACTGAGATTGTAGCTCAGCGGTAGAGCGCTTGCTTAGCATGTGTTGCGAGGCACTGGGTTTCATCCTCAGCACCACATAAAAATAAATAAATGAAAAAAGGTATTGTGTCCATCTACAACTAAAAATATTAAAAAAAAAAAAAAGATGTCTACCCTTCACCAACTGAATCAATTTCTGGAGACAGAGCCAGAGGATCTATATTTTTTTTAAAAGCTGCTCACACAATTCTAATTCAGCTATTACCAGACTAGCATTTAGAATCTTGTGTATAAGGACTTAAGACTTGAATGGAAGTCAGCCTGGCAATGCCATAAGGTATTAAATAAGAGCTTAGTATATATCACCAGATATTTAAATGAAGGGTGTTTTCACTGTTAGATTCACTTGATAGCATTCATATATTCAAAATGACCATCTGCTCCTTAAAAAATTAATACTTTATTTTTATTTTTTAATTGATAAATGATAATCATATGTGTTTGTGGGGTACAAAGTGATATTTTCCTCTTGGTATACATTGTGGCATGATCAAATCAAGTCAGCTAAGCTTTACTTCAGACAATTCCAGTTGTAAAATAGTTCCCATTTTACTGTGTTTTTTGTAGCTGTGTTATGTATTCACCTATAGTAACTTTAATATTTACCTTTCCATCCTATACTTGAAGGAATCTCAGCTGAAAAAGCTAGAGCAAGAGAACATTTTATAAAAGTCATAAAAGTAATAAGAGAGACATTGATGTAACCTCTGTCTATATGTGCATGGGTGTGTATGTTTTTTAATGTGGAAATCATTATTTTTTTTTAAATATAAGGAAATGAGTGGAAGAAGTCTATTCATTCAGTATTTTAATATAAACCAAAGCTTAACAAATGTTCTTCACTTTGAAAATCTTAGTACTTTGTTCTAACATTTGTGCCTGATTATTATCAAATTTTCTGGCATTTTAAATCTGGAAAGTGATTGTCTGTTTTTCCCCCTTAATTCTTAGTGTTTACGAACCCCAGTTGCAGCATCATGTGGCTCAAAAGAAGATTCCATATGTGGATTCCCAGGGGCAATTAATTAAGCCAGACAAACCAAATGGAATAAAGATGGAGAAATTTGTTTTTGACATCTTCCAGTTTGCAAAGTATGCTTTGAATAACACCAGTAAGATTAAATTTGTCTCGAAATGCTGCTTTTTAGTCTCTTAGGCAGGAAACTGTTCTCAGGAAACACTGGATAGCATGTATTTCAGGCATTTTGATTATGAGTATATCATCTAGATCGATTATCATTCCCTACAATAAACCACCACTCCAAGGAGTGTGGTTTGAGTACCTAGAGTGCAGTGTTCTTTTTATCAGTTGGATTGTTATCTGGCTCTCCTGCAAAGTTGTTAAAGTCATTTATCTTGCTTGGCTGAAAGACTAAAAAGGTTAAGATAAACAATTGACCCATTTGTGTTTGGGATCTGTTACTGACCTGTGAGCAAATGTTTTAGTGAACATGTTTTTGGATTATATACCTCTCTATAATAAAGATCACATCTGATGTTGAGATACTTATTTCAGAATTTGACAAATGTGAAAATGCAGAATGTGAATTAGCTGTATACAGTAAGTCTCTCCATATACATTTCTAAAGCATCTTTTTTATATATTTTTTTTTCTTAGCTCCAGTGCTAATATGATCTTTGTGCATTAGGATTTCTGATCTTTCTGATCTAAGATGAAATGTTTTATTATAGTTGGGGTTAGAAATGAGTTTTCATTTTTGTACTGGAGAAGAAAATTACAATTTTCTTTGTTCAAGGGATGAGCATTATTTTTTTGTAATATACCTAAAATTATGTTAAGAAAACTTGTCATTGAATACTAAAGGCTTAGCTATATAGAGAGGAATGAGAAGCTCTGTATGCAATTTTATTTCACGAGAAAGAAGTCTTTGTATGATTTCACTCTAGGAAGTTTGTGGTGTATGAGGTATTACGGGAAGATGAGTTTTCTCCACTAAAGAATGCGGACAGCCAGAATGGGAAGGACAACCCTACTACTGCAAGGCATGCTTTGATGTCCCTTCACCATTGCTGGGTCCTTAATGCAGGTGGCCACTTTATAGATGAAAATGGCTCCCGCCTTCCAGCAATTCCCCGGTAAGTCAGTATCTTTTCTCTTCAGTGGGAATGTTTTCTTGGACTTCTTTTTGACTTCTCTCTTGATATATCCTGAAATCTTTTTATAAAAAAGTAAATTTAAAATCTTTTAAGATAGTAAATTATTGCTGTGTGGGAAGTTCGTGATAAGAAGTAACATCAAGTTTTGCCCATTACAGAGAAGGACAGCTTTACTTTCTCTTAAAGAGAAAGTTGTTTCTTTTTTTTTGTTGTTTTGTTTTCTTTTTTTTCAAATAGCCCCACCATGTCAACGAAATCACTTCTATTAAATAATGGTCAGAAGATAATTTAAAATCCCATTAGCAACATATTATACACAGGGCAAGTTTCTCAGCCACAGAAGATGGGTTGTTGCTGCTCATTTATCTGTGGCCTCACAGCAAGTGTTATATGTGAGACCCATCTAAAGCCCTGCCACCCTCAGGAGATGTTGCCTCATGGCTCTTCTCCCGGCACTAAGAAAGGTGCCAGTTATGTTCTGATACTCAAACTTTAGAAATATTTTATATTTTCAGAAGCTTAAGAAAGAAGGTACTTGTAGTTATTCAAATTTGAGATAAAGCACTTTTAAGCTGAATCTTTTATTTTATGATAAAATCTTCATTGGCACCTATATTTCCCTTTTTAAGCTTTTTGGTGTTTTTGTACTTGGGTGAGAAGCATTCTGCCATTTAATTTATGTTCTTAAGGGAAAAAAAGGCTGCATATACTAAAGCACTAGAATACTTCAATAAGTATTAAAACATTGGGCATTGGAACTTACTGTTTGATAACTGTTTTTAGAAAAAGGAACAGTGTTAGCTTCTATCTCCAAGTCCAAGGCCACTTACAGGCTCTGCCTTGTCAATCAGCTTGCTTTGTGACATGTCATATTGTTCTCATGCTTCATCTTTGACCATTGAATTTTTTTTTTAACCCCCTGAGGCCTCTCGTGCTAGATTCACGATTTACCATAAGTATATGCCATTTGGTCAAGTGTACTTTGCAACTCCACTTCATTGTTATTGTTTGATTTCTTTCCATTCCCATTAATCCTCATTTATTCCTACATAACAGTGCTACAAATGGAAAGTCAGAGACCATCACAGCTGATGTCAATTACAAGTAAATATACCAGCCTGCCTGCAGTGCATGGTGATGGGGCTGTGCTTCCCTCCATACTAACTGGCATTGTAGTTTAGTGCTCTGCCTTTTGGGGGTCTGGAGGGAGGATGATTGAAGCTTTGGTGGGGGTGCACTGCTTACTTGGTGGCAGGTATCTGTCTGGATGGCACTAACTCAGAATCTCAGTGCATGCTGGAAATGGGGAGCATGCTTTACTAAAGAATCTGACCATGGGTATTTGAGCCCATAGTAACAGTTTTACAGGTGTTAGGCAAAACCCAGAGCAGGTTACAGTCAGAGGGAACAAATTTGAATTCCAGCTTTTAGCATAAGCATAAGTTAGAAAGTATTCTGAAAATGTGTCTTACTGAATTAGATAATATGATGTCAGTATAAAGGTTGTAATTATTCATATATATTCGATGGCTCTTAATATGGAGAAAGCTATTCTGTTGATTTATTCGTACATAAACAGCTCTCTTTTTGTGTAATTGTGTTGTAATTTTGGTCAGTTAGTATCTTTTTTTGTCTTTAACAGATCATTTTTAGCTAGAAGTGCCATATGTCCTCTTATTTGGGTACTGTCAAAGTTTTTAAATGCCATTATCTTTTTAGTTAAAAAGACAGCATGATATTCTTGCTACACTTTCAAAGTTGTTAGGTTTAGTGTACACACACACACACACACACACACACACACACACACACACATACACACATATATCAATTGCCCATCAGTGGGATGGGCCCTCATTTTTTCCATTTGGTTAGTGTGACTTCAAGCCATCCAGAGAGTCTGGTGTATAACTCTTGTGATAGAATCTGGCACATATCTGGAGAGATGTGTGAAGTGTGTGCCTCCTCTTTTCTCTGCATTAGGCTGTTGTCCATCTGCTTTCATGGTTCATTTATTCATTCAGTCAGCAAGCATTGACAGACCTACTTACAGATGCTCTTAGTATCTTCGGTGCTGAAGTGTCTACACAAAAGAGAGCCTACTGAGAGTCAGGATGCATATTCATAAAAATTAAGATGCACATTCATAAAAACTAAGGGGCATTATTATGTGATTATGTGCTAACAATGGTATGAACAGTACTTTAGGAGGCAGGGAGACTTAACAGGTGCTTAATAAATTTATTTTTTTTTAAATAAATGAATGGAAGCAATCACTATGAAATGCAGTGGTCTAGGAGAGGTGGGGACAAGAGCTAAATCTTGGAGGAACATTATAATTTTTATAGTCAAATGGATCATAGCTGAAAATGACTTGGAAGGATCCAAAGAAAATATGACTCTCCTGGTTCAAGTAGAAAGTAGTCAGATTAAGTAAATTGGAGTAAGATATAGAGTTCTGTTTGGAGAAAAATTGGCCTGTGGCTGACCTCAGAAAACCTCTAATTTTATTGACTCCACCATAGTTGAAGACTTCTTACTAGAAAGAGAACATAGTTTGAGGCTATACAGGACTGGATTTTTTTGTGTGTCCTGTCCTATTTCTAACATTCTTGAAATGACAAATAATGCCACAGTCTAGTGACTGTAAATGTATTGAAAATACTGTTTATTGATTTTTATGTTAGATGATTTGGAAGTTCAGAATTGCAAATAAGTATAAATATTACATTGTGACTGAGAATTATACAGATGGTGACTTTGGCCTTGCTTTTGCTTGAGTGTGTTCTGCCTTAGCACTTTAAAAAGGACTTTTGATAACAGAAGTATTTTAAAGTGTAATGGATAGGCTTCTCACTCTTGAGATAGCCTACATTCTCCCTTGAATGCATGTCTACCTTCCTAAATAAACTCTGTCCTATGCCTTAAAAATAAAATGTAATTAATAAATTAACTCAGCTAATCTAGGATATTTGGATTGTAAAAAAAAAAAAAAGCAAGTATTGGGAAATAATTTAAATAATCTTTAGAATTGTACTGTCTAAATGGAATGTTGTGCAGTGAGGGAAGTTTTCTACATCTCTGCTCTCCAGTTTGTTTGTCATTAGTCACTCATGGCTGCTGAGCACTTAAAATATGATTATTATGACTGAGAAAGTGAATTTTAAATTTTCAATTTTTTAAAATTTTAATTATTTTAAACTTAAGTAGCCACATATGGCCATTGGGTACTGAATTGGACAGTCTGGCTCTAGAATATTAGTCAATATTAGTACCTGACTTGGAAGATTATGATGAGGTTTAAAAGGCAATGCAAAGGTTTGAAGGCACCTAGCAATGGGGGCCTGGCACATAGTATGTACTCAATTAATAGGCTCTTCTCTATCAACTTTATAAAACTTGGGATTAGTAAAAAATGAGATGTGTAGAAAGGAATAGTGTATAAATATTGATGAAATGCTTTAAAGAGTTAGCAGTAATTATTGTCTCTTTCCTTAAATAGTATCTTTCTGACCATGAGAATTTCATGTTTACTTAATACTCAGGGAATTTAATGATCATCAGGGTAGGATATATTTCATTTGTTCAACTACAATAATTGTGTTATCTGCAAACTTTTCAGAGGGAAGTTATGGTCTTCATTTTAACTCTGGCAAGTAATATGGGAAGTAAAATTTTTAACACTTTTTTGGGATTTTTTTTTTTTCCTTAGCTTGAAGGATGCCAATGATGTACCAATCCAGTGTGAAATCTCTCCTCTTATCTCCTATGCTGGAGAAGTAAGTTTGCTTTCCTTTTTTCCCCTCCTGTTCTTTTAAAGAGTATTGTATATTTCCAAACAGCTTTAAGAGTGGACTTTAAATGTTCACAAAAAGCAGTAAGTATTTGAGGTGAGAATTATGTTAATTAGCCTGATTTGATCATTCTGCAATGTATATGTGCATTGAAACAGCATATTGTACCCCATAAATACATATAATTATTTGTCAGTTAAGAATAAACCTTAAAAACAAAGAAAAACAGGATTCTTGTATTATGTTTAAGTAGAGTTACCCTTTGAGAAAATGGAGCATTTTCTTGTCATCCTGTCCTGAGGACCTCTTTCTAGGAATGAGTTGTGAAGCTGCTTTGATTCTTAATTCTTAGAGAATTCCTGTTATGTCTTTGCATCTATCCCATAATTGAGTGACTTGTCAGTAACAGAAGTCTATAATGTTAATTTGTTTCACCTATCCATTAAAATCCTTAGGCTTTAAAATATATTATTGACCTTTTTTGATAAATCATTTAGCTCTTTTTAATGCAATGTACATTTTCTACTGTAACTTTTAACACCTGAAGAGTTGAAGGTCCCTGCTATTCAAATTATTAATATTTTTTTTTCTGGAGATCCTTTTTAGTATTGCTTAGTTGTAGCATCAGGAGATATCCATCTTACTAAGAAAGTTAACTTTACTGAGTGATGATGAAAATCATCTTATTAACTTTAGAAATTATATGATAATCATTTGTGTAGCATATTCAAGGTCCTGGGTTCAGTTTTAGAACTGCAAAAAAAGAAAAAAGAAATTATTATAATCAGAGTAACTTACTTTCTTTTGTTTGTTGTTTGTTTTATGCTTCCATATATAATCATTAAGTCTTGGGCTGGGGATGTGGCTCAAGTGGTAGCGTGCTTGCCTGGCATGCGTGCGGCCCGGGTTCGATCCTCAGCACCACATACAAACAAAGATGTTGTGTCCACCGAAAACTAAAAAATAAATATTAAAAAAAAATTTTAAATAAATATTTAAAAAAAAATCTCTCTCTCTCTCTTTCTCTCTCTTAAAAAAAAACAATAATCATTAAGTCTAGCTTTAAAGTACATGAAATAGATTTTTTACTTTAAAATTCTTTATCTCAGCTTGGTTTTTGGCATCACAACCACTAAGTCCAGCAGTGCTTGACAGGCATCCACCAATTTTCTAACTGTGTTTAATTTCAATCCTTTTAGGGAATAGAAAGTTATGTGGCAGATAAAGAGTTCCATGCACCTTTAATCATTGATGAGAACGGAGTCCATGAGCTGGTGAAAAATGGTATATGAACCATCTACCAATTTCTACCACAATAGGAAATAGCTTTTATTTTTGATAGATCAACTGTGAAACTGCAGGACCTCTCCTGGAAGACTGAAGTTTGAAGACTTTCACAGGATTTCATTTTGCTTGCTGAACTGTTGAAACTACTACAAACTTTTCAAGATCCAGATGACTGAATTTCAGATAGTGTTTTTATTATTCTCAACTCATTGAAGGTTTTATTTATATTTTTCAATTGTATGATTTTTCTTCCAGCCAAGGAAAATATTGACCATCCATAAAGTTTTCTATAGCTTAACTATAGTCAGGATGTTCAACATTACTTTACTTTGTTTTCGAAGTTGTACATAGTAATAATATGTCATGTACATGTCAGAAGGTTTTTATGATACTAAAAGTTTGTTTTATTTTATCAAGCATTAAACTTTTTAAAGGAAATAATTGGACAGCAAAATAAACTTATCTTCTTGTTTCTGGAGTGTTATTATTTGTACCTTAAAGAAATTATTTTTTCAGGAAAACATGAAACTGGGGAGAAACTTTGAGATAATGCATTAAAGCAAATTGATACTTCTCTGATATTGTGGGGTCATAGAGCTTTTTCAGTGAACATCTAACTTTGGATTTTTTTGTCTTCTATCACTTTATAATAGCTCTCAACCAGAGGTAATCCCCTCCATCCCAGGGGGGCACTTAGCTGTCTAGGGACATTTATGGGTGTCACAGCTGGGAGGATAGGATGATACTACTAGCATCTAATGAGTAGAGACCAGGAATGTTGCTGAACATCACATAATTGACAGGATATCTTCCAACAATACAAAGTTATCTGAGCCAATGTCAAGTGTCAAGTTTGGGAGACCCTGTTCTAAGTAATTTGTTTACTCTTATTTTGCCAAAATATTTTGTGGCACTTAAGAATTCAAAAGATAGTTTCTGGATTTTCTCAGGCAAATTAATAACTACTGTACTTGTTTTTCTCCAGCTAGAAAATTAGGGGAAAAAAAGAAGAAGAGAGACAAAGGTGATTTTTTTAAATATACGCCGGAGATCACTGGTCATTATTGGGGGTTCTGTGTGTCTAAAATGCAGTTTGCATAAAACTATTGAAGTTTATACATGTATTTTATATAACATTTGTGCATTGACCAAAAGCATAAAAATTAACATCTGGATACATGAGAGATTCTAAAAATTCTATCAAGATTAATAAATTTTATTTTCTACTAATTTTTTGCCAAATGGGATAGCATGTGTAGTCCTTAAGGATCATTTTTTTTTTTTTTTTAAAGAGCATGTGATATTAGCTGGGTGTGGTGGTGCATAACTATAATTCTAGCAGCTTCAGAGGCTGAGGCAGAAAGATTGCAAGTTCAAGGCCAGCCTGTGCAACTAAACCAGATTCTGTCTCCAAATAAGATTTAAAATGGTGAGGGACTGAGGACGTTGCTCAGTAATAAAGCACCTCTGGGTTCCCCCTTACTGCCAAAAAAAAAAAAAAAGCATGATATTGAAATCTTTTTTAGTTGTTCTTGTACTAAGGCCTGAATAGTACATTTTGCATATTTGCTGTTTTATTTTAATAATAACCCAATTTGCAATTGTTATCCACTCTATTTTTCAAAAAGTTTTGTGGAATTTGAATTCTCATTAGAATGAGCTCCAAATGGATTTGTGAATACAGAACTTCAGAATTTGTAGCACCTGAATAGGATTCATCTCCTTTTTTCTGAACATTTACCTGCTGTTTCCTCCCCCACCCCTCTCTCTCTCCTCTCTCTTTAATAATGCTAGGAAAAGGGGGAAATGAAAGCATGGTATTATGCTAGTAGTTTTGTTAGAAAGGAGCAATGACTGGAAAACATTGAATAAGTTAATGGCAGAGTCTAAGAGCTTCCAAGCCATGAAATTGTAAGGAAGTAACATTATATATATCTCTTTAAGAGTAGTTGTTAAATAATTTTTCTAATTCAGGAAATGCAGAATTGGTTAACATGTTTATAAAATATGAATTAGAATCATTTGGCAATAATGTAGAATTTATGTGAGAAGTAATAGTTATTTTGAGGCTGGTCAGATCATACCTATGATGTTAATTTTACTGATAGTACAAATGAATATCTAAACCAATGGTGAATTCAGTCACATGTATGAACAAAATACACTATTTTTCAATCCCTACTCTTGTTCCAGAAGTTTTGGAGGGGTTAATGTATGTGATTTTATGTCTAGCCCTAGTGTACTATTTTAACATTTGCTCTTGAGGATTCATCAGTATACAGTCAGATCTCAGTCATCTATGCAAAAAGAAGCAAGGAAAAGTTATGCATGATTTAAGTGTCTAAAATACGAATCATTCTGTTGGCTTAGAAAAAAAATTTTTTCTACTGTCTGAGACTGATGTTTTACAATCTGTGCCTCTCTTTTGCCTGGTTTAGAAAGAATATAATGAAAAGTGATGAATAAATGAGGCAGCCAGTAAGGTCTGAGTACCTCCCATGTGTCCAGCACCATAAGGGAATAAAAAAGTAAACTTCATAGTCAACTCCTTACTAAATGTGCATTCTAGCTAAAGAGAAAATTAACACAATGGGAAGTTATGGAAAGAAAATTTAGTACTAAGATGTAAGGACTTAAAATCAATGACTTATACAAAAGTGGATGTTACAAACTAGAGTTTGTAGCAGAACTCCCTTAAGAACTCTACTGTAGAGACAGGCAATGGTGGCACATCCCTGTAATGACTTGGGAGGCTGAGGTAGAAAGATTGAAAATTCAACCCTTTCTCAAAAAGTTGAAAGTGCTGGGGATGTAGCTCAGTGGTAGAGCACCTCTGAGTTTAATCCTCAGTACTGACAAAAAAAAAAAAAAAGCAATAGGAAATAGATTCATAGGTGGATTTATTATGAGGAATTGTTTCATGTGGTTAGGGAGGCTACCATGATTTTCTTTCCACAAGCTGAAGACCCAGGACTCAGTGGTGTAGTTCTAATCCAAAACCAAAGCCAGGAGAGCCAGGGGAAACAGTGATATTAAGTCCCAGTCTAAGTGTGAACCAGGAATATCTATGTTCCAAGGCAGGATAAGTTGACTTCTCTTGAAAAGAGAAACATGGGCTTCATTATGCTGTTTTCCATTTTAAAACAACATAATGACAAACTAAAAAAGGTAAATTATAGTTGCAAAAAAAAAAGCACTTTACAAAATCGACATCCCTTGCTAAGAAAAATCCTCACTAGGGATAAAAGAGATAAATGTGATAAACAAAGGTCATGTATTCAGAACCTACCTTCTTTTTCTTTTTCTTTTTTTTTTTTGGTGGAGCTATACATCCCCAACACTTTTTTTTTTTTTTTTTAAGACAGGACTTTGTTGAGTTTTCCAGGCTGATCTTAAACTTGTGATCCTCCTGCCTAAGCCTCCTAGTTGCTGAGATTACAGGCATGTACCATTGCACCTGATACAAAACCTACACTTAATATTATTAGAAGTAATAATTTTAGGAAAGTTGTAGGTTATAAGATCAAAATAATAAAATCAACTGTATTTATCTTACCAACAAAGAACAAGGCATTGGAATTTTTATAGTGTTAAACATGAAGTACTTACGGATAAATCTGACCAATGTGTGATAAACCTATTTCCTGAAAACTACAGAATATTGCTGAGTGAAATTAAAGAAATAAATTCAGTGTTGTTAAAATGTCAGTTTTCCCCAAATTCGTCTATGTATTCTACTTAATTTCAGTCAATATCAGACTTTATCACAAACATTAATAAGAAGATTCTAAACTGCATATAGAAATATAAAGAACATTTGAAAAAAAAAAGCTGAGGAATTTATAATATCTGACTTTGAGACTTTTAAAATTACAGTAATTCAGACAGGGTGATAATGATGACAAGGTAACCAAATATATAATCAGGACAGAAGAAAGTCCAGAAACGGACCCACACATACATTATCAATTGATTGTCAGAAAAGGAATGGAGGCATTTCAGTGGAAGGAAAAACATTCTTTTCAACAAATGATGGTGCAAAAATTAGATATCCATTAAAACAAAGAAAGAAAACTTTTTTTTACATACCTTGCACCATATATAAAAATTAATTTGAATTGTATCATAGACCAAAATGTAAAAGATAAAATGGAGGGGATAATTATGTTCAGAATACATTTATTCTTAATATTAGCTTTTGAATATTGTGATTATGTGTTAAATTAGATATTAAAGTTTTTATTATTGTCATTAAAAAAACTATAAAACTTCTAGAAGAAAAAGAAAGTCTCAGTGACCTGTGGTTAAACTAAGCTTTTTTAGCTATATCACCCAAAGCACTATTCATAAAAGAAAAAAAAAAAGACAAATAGAACTTTATCCAAATTTAGACACTGTGGCTTGCCAGACACTTAATGGAAAAACAAGTCATAGACAGTTAGAAATTATTTACTAATCACATATCTGATAAAGGACTTGCATCCACAATGCATAAATAACCCTTGAAACCCAATAATAAGAAAAACAATTTTAAACACGGACAAATGATTTAAACAGGGACTTCAACAAATAAATAAATAAATAAATAAATAAACTGATAGCAAATGAGCACACACAAAGATACCAAACATCTTTAGGGAAACAAATTAAAGCCATGATGTTGAGATGACATATCTATTAGAATGTGTAGAATTTAAAAGATTGACCAAACCAAACATTTTGGCAAGGTTATGGAACTCTCAAAGTTTACTGATGCCAATACAAAAACAATACATCTCTACTTTGGAAGGCAGTTTGGCAGTTTATTAAAAAGTTAAACATAAATATGTCATATCACCTAGCAGTAATATTGGGAGAAAGGAGCCAGACCCCAAAGAGTACACATTATATTATTCCAAATATATAATGATCAAGAACTGGCAAAACAAATCCATAGTGGAGGAGGTCAAAATAGTAAAGTCCTGTAAAAGAAATAGCAACTGGTTGAGGAACACAAAGGAGCCTCCGGAATACTGTAAATATTCCAATTTTTGAACCAGAGTGGCTAGAGATATTTGCAAAAACTCATCAAACTGAACACTTAAGATTTGTTTATTTTACTCTTTGAAGTTATACTTCAATGGAGAAGGAAAAAAATCTTACTCCCCATGCATTTTTAAGTTTTAAAATTCATTATAAAATAATTCATCAGACAGAGGGAATTTAAATAAATAATCTGAGATTTCATAACTAGCAAAATGGCAGATTGAGGATTAAAGACCAAGTCTATTTGTCTCTGAAATCCCTACTTCCTGCCACACCCTTGCCTAAAAGCTCAACTAGAGCTTTTGAAAAAGTAAAGGAATGGAATAGTTGTGCTTTACAAATTTTAAGCTATTAGAGTTGTTAACCTTGCTTGGATCCCAGCTGGCTGGATTCAACTGCCTGGCTGCATTGAGTTATACAAAAGTGGTTGTTACACTTTTTTAAAAAA